GACTCTGCACTTCAGTGCACTTATCAAGCAGTAAAGTAAAATATCTGGTTTTTCTTTCAGCATAATGTTCATCATTTGTGTGGCTGAGAGTTTTATAAATCTCTCAGCAATAGTCTATCTTTTTTATATGCTTTTGCTAGGAGGAGCACAGAATCTGAATGGTGCCTCTGTAGTTTTTGTCTCTTCTCTTTTAGGAACAAAAATCTTCAGTTTCATATATGAAAGCATTTTGTGCTTGTTTTAGAAAGATTCTGTTCATTTACCAAAGAGGTTTTTATGTTTTTTTTGAAAATGTTCCATAGCTTCATGTCATTATTTGATAAAGTTTCAAAATAGACAACATCCAGAAGAATATGGGCTAAATGAATTACCAGTCAAAAAGAAATCCAGCTTTTAGATAGTTGCTGTTGTATGTGCTAGTAAAATTTTTGGTTTTATCCCGTTGTATGGTATTATCACACGCACAGATTTATATTGTTTGCATTAGAGTCCTATTCTTGATTTAGGCTTAACATTTATTCTGAGCTATTTATGTTACCATGTTTTTATCAATACCTTAGGCTTTAGAAACCAGTTTTGAGCCATTTATTTATTTTATTGATTGGGGAGTATAATGCAACACAATGAAAATAATGCAAATTTAAAAGATATAAATAATATTCAAATGGTGTGAAAATACTTTAGGAAAGATGATTTGTTCTCTTTTAGAATAATGCACGTCTTAGAGAACCTTTTCAGCTTTTAAGAATATAATTTGTTAAGATAATGAGATTTCTGTGGAAATCAAAATTAACCTTATAGTTCTCAATTATGAAATATATGCAAACTAAATTGTTTCCTTTTTCCCTCTAACTATTCTGGGACAAGGAGGAACAACTAGTGATTGACAGATCATAATTTGATAAATAATGGCTAATGCTCTATTACTGTTTCCTAGTTTAAAATTTTATGTTTTTAAATATATATATATATATTTCATGTATACGTATATGTAATGTAATATTACAGAGACACTTAGCAGTATTTTCATTAAGTATTGCTCTTTGCATATTTCTCACTTTATTCTGTCATTAGTTCTCCCACTGTCCAGGATCATTCCTATCAAGTACAAGCATGCTTTAGAACCTACCATGTTAAAAAAAAAGTATTATTCCCACATTTTTTTCTAACGATTGCTTCATTTCATTCTTGCCTTTACAGCACAGTTTTTCAAAAGAGTTTTCTGTAGTCACTTTCTCTACTTCCTTACCTTCCTAAATTCATCTTAACTTTTAACTAAAGCTGAACAAATATTTATGAAATACATGTAAAGTATAGAGACTAAAGAAACAGACACCATCGACCCACCATTACTGTTATTTTTGAACATTGCCATTAACATTGAAGTTCCCCGTGTGTCACTCCTGGATCTGGTTCACTTCTTTCTCTTTTAGAGATAATCACCATCCTGAATTTCTTTACAGTTTACCATATGTATTTCTAATAAGCATATCTCAGTGTGTATTTCATTTTAAATAAGTGAAGTTATACTGTATGTATCTGTCTGTGATTTGCTTTTCTTGTTCAACATTGTTTCTGAGATCCATCCATATACTATGTAGCTGTATGTACTTCATTCATTTTCACTGCTGTACTCCATTGTATGAATATACCAAAATTTTTCTCTTTTATTGTTGATGAACATTTGGATTGTATCTAGTTTTTTGCTACCCTAAGCTGCACAGCTATGTGCATTCTTCTTGTCTCCTTCTGTCAAACTGTAGCAAAGGACCAAGTTTTTGAGTTTTTCCCTGATCTGTTGTGGGTTGATGCTTTTGTAAAATATACTAAAAATGTCTCACCAATGTCAAATTGCTATAAAAATATATAAACCTTTACTCTGAATTTCTGTATTTATCTTGTTATGGACTGCGTTTTGAATACTGCTCTAAGATGTGTACCTAGCTGTGGAATTCCTGGGTCGTTCATCTTCTATTACTTATGGAGAAAATTGTTTTCTCAAAATCGCTAATATTCTAGTTGCTCAAATTACACAGAAGGCAGTCTGCCAGCTCTTTGTGGCTTTCTGTGTATCTGCTTTCAATTCCTAATATGAAGGGGATTTCACAGTAAGACCTGCTGCTTTAGGGTAATGTAATTTTCATCCTAGAGAAAGTGACTGCAAATAAGATTAGGCTTTGCTTAAGAATTGATTCAAAGCTAACCTAGCAAGCACAAGTGAGAGAAAACTATGATAATGGGATAAAGGGCCAGGAGGAGTGAATTTATTGAGGGAGATGGTCTGTAATATTGTAATACTACAATATTGTAATATGCAATATTGTGGAAGATGGTCTGTAATATTGTAATACTATAATATTGAAATATTGTAATACAAAATGCTACGGTAGAGAGATCTAAAGAAAGCAAGCAGAGAAAAAAAAGCATTGTACATAGTAAGATTTTTAGAGACCTTTAGGAGTCCAGTTAAAATAGGGCATACATTCCTTCTCATGTTAGCAGCCTTCCTTCTGCATAGGCAGCCTTACAATTGTCTCAATGCGTTAGAGAACTTTCACAAAATATAAGCTGAGATTGCTCTTATAAGTAAGCAGCAGGACTACTTTATATCAGTGTTTCTCCACTGTATTTTCATTACAACCCCAAATCCAGGAATATATATATATATGTTTATATTACATATAATATACAAAATATTATCTATACATATGTAAAATATTATATATATATATAAATATGTTATATATATGTTTCCCTAATCTCCCACTTCATGTCATTTTCATACCAAAGATGTACAGTACATCTGTTTGTATACTGTAACCTTTGGAGGGCTATGAACCATTTTAATTTTCAAGATTTTTTTTTTTTTCCCCAAGAACCAATTACCACCTGCTTGGGAGTGATAGCACCCCTGTTGAGAATATATCACATGAATACAAACATGGCTCTTGGCATTAGAGTACAAATATTTAAAAAGGTAATGTTTATTTAATCATGTAGGTCAATGAAGTGGGGAAGGCAGACTACTCAATGTTAAGAAACCATTCTAATGAAAGTATGCTTGAATGAGCAACAAATCAACTTCTACTTAGGGTAATGAATCAGGGAAATAAGGTATACAAGTATTTTTCTCTGTTTGATGGTGTTATTGTGGGAGAAGTATAGAAATATGGATCAGATGATAGTACAGTTAGGTAAGGTTGTAGACCGAGAATGCAAATTAGTTCATTGATGCCTATCTCATAGGTGATTTTTAGTGATACATGGTATGGCTCTGTTTTCACTCCTGTCTCTTCTATACATCTATTCGTGAACTTAAGAAAACATCAGATTTATAGATGTCATGATAATGGGAGGAATGAAGAATAGGGTAGTTGACATTCTCAATCTCCAAAGAAACTGACAGGCTAAAATAAGGGCAGAAGTAAAGTATTGCCGTTGGGTCTAAAAAGCCATATTTATAAGAATAGCATGGAGGAAAATGGATCATAACAATATCATGTATAAAAGAAACTTAGGGATTTTAGGTTATGTTAATCTTAAGAAGCATTTTAGGAAGCTATTAACATCTTTATTTGCAATAATTAGTGTCCCTTGAATCTAGATTATGTGCTGATTAAATCACAACCTGAAATAATTATATCAGGACCACATTTAGGACCATATAAAATATTGCTTAAATTTAATGTGTCTGTTATATATGTGGTATACTTTGCATGTAGTTATATCAGAGCCATTTTGTGGGCACTGGTTCATGAGCCTTCTAAGTGATTGTACTGTGTCTGAATTTTCTTTGGGAAGAAATAGATTTTTCTTCAGTGGTAAGAAAGAAATTACGTTCTGCAAGGATATTGATGAGGAGATGGTGATAATGATAATTGACAGTTTTTTGAGTGATTAAGCATGGGTGTATTATGTAAAATATGAGTCAACAAACTGTAGTCCACTGACCAAATCCTGCCAGCAGCCTGTTTTTGTATGACCTTTGAGCTAATAATTTTTTTTGCATTTTAAAGGGTTATAAAACAAAAACAAAAAGCAAAGAATATGCCATAGAGACCTTATGTGGCCTGCAAAGCCCCAAATAAGATCTTTTGCAACCAGAAAACTTAAGCCTGAAGGACAAGAAACAACACAGATAGTTCAATATATAGAAATTATATGATTATATTACAGATTAGGCTCATATTCAATAAAGGTTCAAAGCTATGTACAAAATAGCTGTTATAATGTATTATTTAATCAAAAGGAGAAAACCTATTTAACTCAGTAAATGTCAAAGAAATTTAGGGTTGATGATAGGTAGCAGTTATAACTTCCCAAATTAAAGTTAATTTTATCTCCTTGGGCATATGTAGTGACTACTATATTGGGTTGGGAAGCAGCCAAAAAGCTTGTTAGGAAGAAGGGTAGGGAAAAAAACTAGTCTGGGACTAAAGTTACCGTTGATAGGCTAGTCTATCAAGGAGACAGACAGGAAAACAATCACTAATTATCTGCATATCAAAAGGAGTATGTGCTGCTTTTGATAAATCCATTCCTTTATACTTAATCTAACCCCAAGGACAACAAACTTTTCAAAATATTTTTGACAGAAGTACCTTATTGGTAAGAAGATAACATCACCCATCACCCATGATGAGCCTTTGGAGATGGTGGGTAGACAGAGAATATCTGATGATGTGTAATATTTCTTTTATTTTTTGTGACTTAATGTGGTTTTGGATTTATATTTTCCTTTTTGTGGTAATATTTGAAGATTAATATGGCTTGTTTTAGTTACTTTATTGTGATAATTCTTTATTTTGATTTCTCAATTACAGATTGTATTAATTAATGAAATATTCTGTCTGGAGATAATTTTTATTCTCACCATTCCAGTATCTCTTCCAGATTTTGAGCTATATTAGATAATTGTAATGGAAAATGCTCAATTTTGTCTTTACATATTCTTGTTTATTTATTTCTGGTTTGTAACCAAGTGAATTTTTTTTTTCCAGATGATTCTTTGGGATTGGGACTTAAAGCAATGGTATAAGCCTCATTATCAAGTAAGTATAAGTAATATCACTAAATAATACCTGTGATGAAACTTTTGACACTTAAAGATTTGCAATATTTCTGTGCCATAAGATTTTCTTTAACTAACTCATAAGTTAACTAGAACCTTCATTGAGGTAGATTTTTTTAAAATACATTTTAATTATAAGGGAAAAAGAAAATGATAAAAAACCAAATTTATATAAATTGTTATGAAAATATTGCTAATATAATCTGGGCTCAGAATCAACTAATATTTCTATATTAAGAATAAGATTTTTTTCTTTTCTGATGTGGACCACTGATCTATAAAGGGGAAAAAATAGATGGAAGGCCATATCTGAGACAAAGCAAAGCAATTGGCAACATATTTTATTAGGGAAGTAAAGATACCCAACTTTTATTTTTTGGTAAACTTTTTATTGAATTATAACATACATGCAGAAAAGTGTACAGCTCAATTTTCAGAAGTTAAACATCCCATGTAACTGATACCGATATGAAGAAATGGAATGTTTCCAGTATCTCAGAAGCCTTGCTTATGCCCAATTCCAGTCATTACCTATATCCTCAAAGGTAAATCCTATCTGACTTCTAGTAACTAGTTTTGCTAATTTTTGAACACTATATATATACAAATGAAATAATATGTGTTAAGATTAATTTTTTGAATACCTAAGTAATATATGTTTATATCAGATAAAATGAAAATAGAAGTATTTAATATAAGGAGGAAAAAGAAAAATCACTCATAAAACATCAAGCAATAACTGTATTAACTGTGTTAACTTTTGATGTATATCTTTATTGATCTTTCTCATTATGCCAAATTTACTTAATAATTCTAATAGCTTATTTGAAGATTAAGTCTTGAAGTACACAATAATGTTATCTATGAGTAAAGACAGATTTATTTATTTATTTCCAAACCTATGCCTTTTATTTCGTTTTCTCATGTTATTGTACTGTCTAGGACCTTCAATTCAGTGTTGAATGGAAGTGGTATGAGTAGGCAGCCTTGTTTTTCTTCATGAACTCAGGGAGAAAATGTTCAACATATCACCACTAATGCTTTTTTATAGATACCCTTTAGCAGATTAAGGAAGTTTTATTCTAATTCTAGTTTACTAAGGACTTTTTTTCTCTTTTTTAGTCATGAATGGACATAGAATTTTATCAGATGCTTTTTCTGCATCTACTCAAATGATTCGAGAATTTTTTTCTAATTATTCTACTAATGTGGTGAATTGCATTAATTGGTGTGTTTGTTAAACCATCCGTGTATTCCCAGAATAAAGTAAATTTGATCAAGATGTATTTTTAAAAAATCTTTATCCCTAGATTCTATTTGTTAATGTTTTGTTTAGAAATTTTGAATTTGTATTTATGAGAGAGTGTTGGCCTATAAATTCTTACTTTTCATAATGTTCTTGGCATTATATTGGTATCACGGTTACCAAGAACCTTGATATCAAAATAAAATAAAGTGAGATATTTACCCTTTCTATTATCTCAAAAAGTTTGGGTAAGGTTAAAAATTGGTATTATTTCCTCCTTTAATGTTTGGAAGAATGCTCTGGTGAAGCTACCTCACCTTGAATAATTCTTTTGTGGACAAATTTTAAGTTATGGATTCAATTTCTTTGTTTTAGTACTATTTAGGTTTTCCATCTTTTCTTCTAACAATTGAGTTACTTGTGTTTTTCTAGGAATTCCTTTTTTTGTTGTTCCTTCTGGCATTTGTGAGACTGCTGAAAGCCCTATTTTAATTTCCAAATAGAAATCTTTTTGAGGATTTCTACTTGGTTTATCTCTCTCTCTTAGCCACTTTTATAAATTGGCAAATGCCTTTAGAGGAAAAGCAGGTCTGAATTTAAGCTCACTACTTTGTTTTTCTCATCACTTTGAGATCTTGTTTGGCCCTCCCTGTCTTCATAACTCTGAACTGCAATTTCAGTCTCCCACCCCCTTGAGACTATAGATCTCTACTCTGTTTCCTGGCCTCTTTTGTGCTTTTCATCCACTCTGCTCTGTGCCAGTTATGAATCAGCAGAAAATTCCTAGAGGGAAAAGAGTAGCGCAGAATGTTGGGTTTCTTTTAATCTTTTCTCTTAATTCTGGGTTCTTGGCCCTTTATGCCCTGGCTGTTTGGTTGTGTTTTGATGCCTTGAAATGTATGCTGTTTATATTTTATTTCAGCTTTTCTAGTTGTTCTAGACAGAAGAGTTGGTCTGATACAAACCAGTCCCTCTTGGCTGGAATATTAGGCAAGCCTCTTAAGACACTCTGAACCTATTTCCTCACCTACAAATTGAGAATAATACCAGTTCCCTCAAAGGGCTAATTAATATGTGCCTAGTACTCAGTACAAATGTGAGCCAATATTATATAAATTTCAATAATAATAAATACTAATCTGAACTTGAAGTATAAGACAGAAATGAGCATTTTTTTCTTTAAAAGGCCAGAGAGTAAATATTTTAGCATTTGCAGGTCATACAGCCATTGGTACCTTCTGCCACCCCTACTGCTTCTCCTCCTTCTCTCCTTTTTCCTCTTCTCCCTGCCACTCCTCTTCTTTTTCAATAGCCATTTAAAACATAAAAACCATTCTCAACTTTCTGTTTAACAATCAAGATTTTGCAAAAAAAAAGTGAATAGAAAATAGGAATTTAAGTTCAACTTTTAAAATTGTGGCAAATAATTTGAATATTCAATTTGATCTGTCACTCTCTTGCTCATTTCTCTCCTGTTTCACCCAGAGTAAAAGTCTTTGTCATGTACGTAAAAGAACTTACACAACATGGTTCCCTCCCTTACTCTCTTGTACTTCTATTTGTCTTCTGCTACTTTCTCCTTCATTTACTCTGTTCCAGCTGCACTGGCCTCCTTATTATTCCCCAAGCAAGTCAGACAGGCTTCTAACTCAGGTCTTTGCACTTGCTAGTCTTTCTGCCTGGAATGCTTATTTCCTACACCTTGTCATGTCTTTACATAAGCATTTCCTTCTTAGTGAGGCATACCCCAACTATCCTCTCTAAAATTGCATTGCGTTCTATCACATCTTTTTCCCTTAACTTACTTTATTTTCTATTTTTAGCAACCTGTTCAAAATCTATTATATACGACCCTTTATTACTCATATTACTTAGCTTGGAATCAATTGTTCTCAAAAATTTGGTCCCAACATGTCTTTCCAGCCTGTTTTTCATTGCTTTCTTATATAATCTGTACTTTAACAATTTCGTGTTCCCTGTATAGCATTATTTTACTGCTTAAAAATTGTATTTTACCACGTTTATACTTGTATTTATGCGGTGTCCATTTTGTGCAGTATACTTCTCCAATACATTTTTGTTTTTTATTGTAAACAAATATAAATATAATCCTAACAAATTTTTACGGCCCAGCTCAAAATGCTACCCCTTCCATAAAATTTCTGTTACCATCCAAATGGAAGTTTTCTATATCTCTTTTGAACTCTAATGCCATTTTTTCGCTATATATATATATTTCATTTTTTGAGACGAAGTTTTGCTCTTGTTGCCCAGGCTGGAGAGCAATGGCATGATCTCAGCTCACCGCAACCTCCACCTCCCGGGTTCAAGCGATCCTCCTGCCTTAGCCTCCTAAGTAGGTGCGATTACAGGCATGCACCCCCACGCCTGGCTAATTTTGTATTTTTAGTAGAGATGGGGTTTCTCCATGTTGGTTAGGCTGGTCTCGAACTCCTGACCTCAGGTGATCTCCCCACCTCGACCTCCCAAAGTGCTGGGATTACAGGGGTGAGCCACCACGCCTGGCCATTTTGTCTATATTTTTATATCTTCACTTTCTGCTAATAATAACAGTACTATCTTTGCCTTTAGTTATTTGTACTATACATTACTTTATATGCTCTGTGTGTGTTACCGTATTTATTTCTCTCTTTTCCTCCTTGCTAAGTACAGTTATTAACTCTGGAAATAATGTAAGAGGAAATCAAGCGATAACTATGAAAAATGAAAAGAGGAAGGCAGACTGACTAGGGACCTTAGTACAGGAAAAACAACACAGTGACACAGTCTCTTATGACCCACACCCAACAGCAAAACATGGTCTAGGCCCCCACTCTCAACCTATAAACATAAGGTGACACAGGTAGGCTTATTCTTTCCCCCAGATTAAACAAGAGCCCTGCCAACAACATTAAGCAAGTCTGGTGGCTCTAGCAAGGGGGAATTAATTTGGAGCCACTGGCAATCAGTGGCTAGGGAGAAGCTTTCTCCTTCCCTCCTGGGCATGAGACTCCCCTTCCCCACTGACAGACACTTGGTAGCCAATGTGCCTGGCAAAGGGGATATCCTTACAAATGCCTAGCCCAGAAAGTGATCTTTATTCCTGTGGCCTGAAGACTCCTTTCTGTCCCCTAAAGGAACCAGATGACTCAACCTGAGGAAGCTCTCTCTCCCTCTACCCTAAGGTACCAATATGGACTAGTGGGAACTCAAGGGGCACCAAAAAAAAAAAAATGAAACACACCAAAATGATAGTACTTTGAAAATTGTCATCCAAACCACAGCCCACAAAAGTACACCTGTGTGAAAAACCTAAATGGGGATACTGCCTTCTAATGTCAAAGATTTTGGTAGGACCCAGAGTCTTGTAAGTTATAGTCAAAATATTGAGAATAAAATAAAAAATCACCCATCATACCAAAGCAAGAAAATCACAAATTGAATAAGAAAAAGGAATGACAACACCAAGATGAATCAGATTTGGAATCATCTGGCAAGGATTTTTAAAGCAAACGTCATAAAAATGCTCTAACAAATAATTACAAAGTATCTTGAAACAAATGGAAAAAGAAAGAAAATATTAGCAAAAGAAATATAAATTATAAAAAAGAAACAAATGGAAATTATAGAGCTGAAAAATACAATAATAGAAATTTAAAATTACTGGATAAGATGAATAACAAAGTGGAGATGACAGTAGGATAGAATCTGTGAGCTTAAGCATAGATCAATAG